CCCCAAAACCCCAAAACCCCAAAACCCCACAATAGATATAATTGTTACTGAATAGTGATGATAGAATTTAAATTTAAATTTAGAGATTATTAAAACCTAAAAATGAGAAAAAATAGTCAAAAAGCTTTCCAAAATACTGAGCGGACTTCTCTAAATAAGGAAAATCTGCATCCATTGCAAGCACACTACCAGTAGTATTTGCAATAGCAGAGGAGTTCAAAGTTTGCTGGCAGCTAGACCAATTCAAACTACAGCAATAACTAGTTCTAGTCTTCAGATTTGAGTCTATCCTAGAGCGGGACAAGCGAAGCCAATAACACTCAGAGGATGATTGACAGTCAAAGATCATCCAGGCTTAATATGTCAAAGAAATCGCTGCCAAATCAATATATGAACTTTCAGCCTAATAATTCTGTCAATAGTGCCTCGATGAAGGGCACACCGAGCTTTCAAAATGGAGTTAGAGCCTAAAAACATAACATTAACAACAACATTCCAAGTCAAGCAACCAGCAAAGCAAGCATGAGCAACTAGAACTCACAAAATACTGTGAGTTTCAAGTCTAAGAAAAATCTGAATCATCCCCCAATGGTAGTAGAATTTACTCTAACCTAGAATGACCTGTAATTGTAATAGCAGCCTCAGAAATAAAACTAAAAACCATAAAAGGGGAGTTCTGGTAAGAGAAGCTCAAACCAGAAACAGATAACTTCAATGCAGAAATAGCACTAATAAAATCAACCGTCAATTAGTAGCAATAGCAGTGCTTAGGTAAATCAGCATTTCTAGTAGACCAATAAGCATCTCAGGTTTGATTCAATTTAGGATAGTTCTTCTGCTACAAACCAATAGATGATGAGTATTACAAGTCAGCACTATTAGGGATTAATCAGTGGTGGATCATCAGAGGAAGACAACAATGATGATAATTATCAAGATTTAAAAGAAATGATGATGGAGTCACCCTAACCTAAAAACCCAAACCAAATTACACTGAACAACTCATTGCTCGAGTGTGTCGATCAGTATGGGAACAATATTGACTAGTACTCAGTTCTAATTGAAACTGATAATAATGAGGAGGAAGAAGAAGAAGAAGAGGAAGATGAAGAGCTGAGCTCTAAAAAATAATAGATATCTGAACTTAATGATCCAAATAGTTATCTCAATACAGTGACTAAGGATGTATAACTCTATGGATCCATTAATCATAATATCAATTAGTATCCAATTAGTAATTCTAATAATTACAACAGCAACAGCAATAATAAGACTACTCATACGAATATCATTTAACTTCAGAACAATTACTATCTTAGCAATAACCCTAACTTTATAGTGTGCTCACCAAGCGCTAATACAGATGATGATTGCTAATATACCAACTCTAGTGCAGTCAGAAGTATTGCAACAGCAAATTCAGCAATCAGGAATCATTATAGCTATGGAAAAACTCATGCTCATTTAATCTATACAGATGAGAGAAAGGAAGAGGATCTCTCAAGTTAAGCAATAGATGAGCAAGAAGATGATGAAATGAATAACAACGAAGATAATATTCAATAGTTCAGTAGTGATAAAGATCAATTTACTCATGACAATGGTGAAGATGATGAAGAAATAGAGTCTAAGTTACATATAGCCACAGGAAGCTCATAATTGTATCAAACTAAAGATTATGATAGAAGTTAATCTAGTGGGCAGTATCAACTTAGGATCAAGAGAGATATAAATGATTAGTTATAATAGACACCTGCTTAGTAAAATTAGTTCTTATAAATACTTGACTCAGACCAAAGATAAAGAATTATCAATGATACACCTCAAGTTATGGAGATGATTGATCAATCAAACATATAGTCTACTAAAAATAAAAGTTCAAAGCATAACTCTGGAAATGGGAAGAACAATTAGACCTAAAATATTGATCAAATTTCACCTGAGGTCCTTGGATCAAGAGAAAACAGGAGAAGAGTCTAGAAATAGCTTTAGCAAGACAAGAAGAAGGATAACAAAGGAGATAACACCAGAAATAGCTCTAGATACTTAAATTTCAAGGATATCAGTCCTTTAGTTAAGAGCTGTAATACCTTTGCCTTTGACAATATGCCAAATCAATCTAATCTTGACATTAATCTTGTGGGCAAGATTTCACCCCCATTCTTGTAAAATCACTATCCAAGTGTGATTTAAAAGGGTGATAATTTCAAATTCAACACAATCAATAGTAATAATGTTAGTTATGGCCATAATACTGCTAATGGTGGTGGCATGATCTTCATGCAGACTAATACCAATGTATTTGGCAATACCATCTAGAATCATTATTACTAAACAACTTAAACCTAAGGCACAATGATGGGAGGTATTAATGAAAATGATATGTGCAGTCCAGATTAGTTATCAAGAGGATAAATGACTAATAAACTTAGCAGTGTAATTGAAAGTCCCCCTCCTCTTACAGATATGACTCCCGAGAAAGGTATAAAGGACTTCTCAAGATAATACCTTAATCAAGGCATGTGGCCCTCGAAGACCAATCATCTTGGGGATCAAACGACAATAATGCACTAGTCGAAATTATAGGATGCCAGTTTAATGAGTTCTAGACTCAATATCTCTATGAAAATGGGTGACAATTTGAGAAGAATCGAATCGAATTTACATTCGCAAATAAAGCACCCTAATAGTAACTTCAGCACACATCAAAAGAACTAATAGCAGATTCTATAGAGCTAGCATATGCTGCATCAGAGCATGCAGAAAAAATTTGTAGTGCCTCCTCTAACAAATCTCTCTAATGCACTATTCAGCACTGCTGATGGCATGCTTACTTAATCTCAAACAAATCAAACATTTTCCCAAAATCAAATCAATAATAGTAACAATAATATTAACATGAGCAGTAATCATTAAAATAACATAAGCACATCTAATCCTTATCAAATTCAAGAAAAGCTAAGCTCAGCTTATCCAAATATAGACATCAGCATAGTGCAGAAGATAAATACTACTCTCGATAATATGAATAATTAGTTCTACTTCAAAAGACCTTCTGATCATGTTGGCTTAGGCAACTCTTCTATTACTTAGCTTCGCACCTCTAGAGAGTAAAGTAAGCATAATCTGTCAGGCTTCACACTTCTGAATAATTTCAACCATCCAAACTAAATAAATGCCAACAAGATTAATACAATGGTTAACAATACTGTTTTTAATCAGTCAAGCTTCGATGATATGTGCAATATTCATGGCACTAATGAAAACCCCTAGAATATTACTCATATATAGAATGAGTAACTACTGCCCTTAACCTCCAGGTCTCATAATTAACCTTAGTTAAGTTTTAATAATAACAGATTCAGTAATATCAGTGATGCCAAGAATACTCACACGCATGATCACATGACCAGGTAATGTAAAGAATGCATATTTGAGAGGGAGAAAAGATCAGTTACTTAAAAAGCATTTGAGAGAGCTCTTGGTATCTCGCTCTATTTAATGGAAGAGATCGATAAGATAAGCTTGAATTAAAGAGAAAGACCAAGCAATCATAGTGAGCATAACTAGATGCAGATCAGTAGATAAGAAATTATGAACTTGATGAATTAGACTCATCTAGGCGGAATCAAGGGACTGATATCACCAAACAGTCTTAATGGAAGCACCACGCATCAAAATAGCTAGACCAGATTATCAAGAAGTAAATCGCAATCCATGATGCCAGTGGAGTTTGCTAATCTATAACGTAGTCTTCAAATCCCTAGAGGAGCTTTGAATAGCGCTTATCAAGGAATTTTCAATAATGCCACACCTAATATGAGTTATATTTGAATACTTAATCGGTTATTTTACTTAATTAAATTTAATATATTAAACTGTTCAAACAAGTAGTACTGCATTAATACATCCATCGTTCTCTGGATTATTAGTAACTTGAGCGTACTTGCCCCATACCACTTTACCTGTTTATGTTACAAGACCCAGTTCCGATACGTTAACCTCAACGACTGTACCTTTGGTAATAACTCCTAAACTTGTATACATTGCACTTTGAGGGTTCTTTTTCACTCCAAGAATGTCAAGGCAAAATGTGGTCTTTAGTTCTGGGTGAGTCACGTGAGCTTTCTTGAAACGAAGACCAGTTGGTCTGATGAATCTCTCAAACTTGGGTGGCTTTCTGACAAAGTTCTCATCAACGAAAGTGACCTTGTTAACAACTCTCTTCCAAGCCTTCTTTCTTCTCTTACCAGTTCTGAGCACCTTGAACATCTCATCTTCACTCATTGGTTTGACCTTTTCAATGGGCACCTTCCACTTTCCAGCTTTTTCCTTTCTCTTTTACTTGATCATATTACTCAAAACTTTGGTCCTATTCACTTCATTTCTGTCTAACAAATATGCTGGGATGGCTCCATCCTCAACTTTCTTATCATTTGTTACAGTGGCTGACTTCTCTTCGTGAGCTTTGATGTTTTTCTTCATCTTAATTTTCTCCTTATATCTCTCCTTAGCGTAAAGTTTACCCTTCAGACCGACTAATCCCTAAGCTTTCTTGGCGGAATCCTTCACACCTCTGGCAGCTCTCTTTCTCATTTTCTCGTCATGATCAAAACGCTTACCAAAACGCTTCTCATGAAGCTCCATATAATTGTTTTGGGGCTATAGGTGATGATTAATGAAATAAGGTTATTACCATGTTCTTATATATACTACTAGAAATAAATATAAATAATACTCTAAAAACTTTCTTAATAAAGCCTATTTCATCCTTCAGGGGTTTTGGGGTTTTGGGGTTTTGGGGTTTTGGGG